TGAAAAGTACTATATACAAAACTAACAGATGGGCACGTTCCAGAGATCTCTTACTGTCCCGACGCTGTGAGGCATTCCGGGAGTAGAGAAAAGAAGAATAGAACATGTTCCAGTTTCCCTCTTCTCAAAACATGGCAAAAACTTGATGACCATCTTTTTTTTTTTTTCTTGTTGTTAATACTTTCATCGCCGTGGTACCAGTTATGAGTTATGAGTTAAATTATCTTCACAGCACTCCAGACACATCCACAGGCGCTCAGATTCCCCTCTCAACATATTCATCAGCGTCGTGCGGTTAATAGTACCAGTCCTATGTTGGTCAACAAGACGGTGTGCTTCTCATGCTTGGCTGTGCCGATCTTTACTCCCAATTCGCGTAGTCTTAGCAGTGATATAGACACGTTGCTTCCAAAATCTTCAGAACGTCCTATCTCTCTATGGGTAATGACAATGTCTGCGTGATCCATTGGCCGGCCATTTTCAATTAGCAACACATGCCAGTCTATCAGTTCTCTCATTACCAACAACGCGTGCATGACATGGGACGAATATGAAGGTCGTGGTACCAGTACATAAGTGATGTCTGAACAAGAATCTATTTACTGTCTGTATTTATCACTTGGTCGTCTTAGACTCCTTGAATGTGAAAGTACACGAGGCGGGAGAGCTGGCGGGAGACCGAGTTTTTCTTTCAGGAGACCGTAATGAGAGCGACGTACTGCAATAGACCTGCTACAAGATGAGATAAGGTGTTTAACAAACAGCATACTGTCTTGAAAGCTGAGGTATTTTGGCCATGTTAAACATCATGATTACCTGTAGTTAGCAACTTGTATCGTTGTCTACATCTTGCTCTCGACTTTCTCCACAGTATTGTTTTTTTAAAAGCGCATTATGTCTTTACAGAATGAAGAAAGAGAGACGATCAAGACAAACAATGCAATGGACACCACAAGGACAGCGTGGAAGAGGTAGACCCAGAGGCACTTTGAGGCTGAACTCAAGGATACGGGAAGGACACAACTGGAGATAGATGGATGGCTAAAGATCGAACTAACTGGCAAAAGTTTCTCTCTGCCTTATGTGCCTCTGGGCTCGACGAGAATTGACTGGTGGATGTCTCAATGCGCCCAAAGTATTTTAGTTGTCTCCTTTTTCTTCTTCAAGTGATTCTTTTTTCTTTCGCAGTCTTTCGAGAACCTCTGTATTGGATTATCTTTTGTTTCCGTGAAATACGATTCTACTGTATATTCACATTTTCAAGGACTGTGTAACAGTAATTTGTATTCATCCCCCCTCCCCCTTCCAGATCTCTCCTCGCCCATAAGACATTATCAACAAGCGGTTTGCTTGTGATTGTGTTGGTGTTGGTGTTGTTGTTGTTGTTCATCGTAGAAGTTGTTCTGCCCTATTCAGGAGGGTTGGGTACATATAACATTTGCCGATTCTCATTTTAAATGTTTTGTTTATCGCTCGTGAAGACAGCAGCCTAAATAACTCGCCTAACCTTTATTCTTTGAGCATATCTATGAAGGTGCTCAAGGCAATGAGCGTGCAGGTTATCTGGCCGACAAGGTGGTTACCACGACTGGCCCTGGCACTGGACATCTTTTCTTCTTCGCTTCTTCGCGTTCACCAGCTGTAAACTCTGGCGGAAGGTTCTGGTTGCTCGTCCACTACTGAACTGCAGTCCTGCTCCAGAACCTGAGTGTTGCGTGTGCATCAGTTTTACAGATCTCATTCTCTTGAATACAGACTGTTGGTTCCTTGCCTCTCCGGCAGATGCACTCCGACTTCAAAGGAAGCTCTTACGACATGCTTTTTGGGAGGCAGTGGGTCTATTCTTGTTTTTCCCACAATGGGACCCCGGAACCCACACGGGGGAGGGGGGAGGGGCACTGGACATGAATGAAGACATTAATGCCTCGCGGGCTGGATATCGGAAAGAAGATCAAGACAACAAGCAGGACTCGTGTCCTTGTCCAGGCTGGTGGAGTAGCCATAGATAAATATTAGTGCAAGGACCCAGGGCGTCTGGTTAACCAACACAGAACCGGCGTGATCATTAGTTTTACTCTTGTGGAGCTACTGAAAAGGGGATCTGAGCACTTATGGATCTGTCCGTAGTGCTGTGATGATAAACCTCACCAATCACTAACAAACGATCACCCTGTGCGTTTCAGGGTCTCATTTTGGGGAAAGATAGGAATATACCATTGCCCGCCCTCCCCAACAAGCATGTCGTAAGAGTCGACTAATTTGGGGCTTCGTTGAAAGTCGAAGTGCATCTGACTGAAAGGCAAGAAACCAGCAGTCTGCATACAAATCAGACAGATCTGTAAAACGGATGCACACGCAAACTTCTGGTCCTCGAACAAAGCCAAAGACTAGAAATGGACGAACAATCAGGTCTTTCGGTCGGGGTTTACAGCAAACAAACAAACAAACAAAACTAAGAAACGTTAATAGACTAGTTTTATGAAACAAGACAGAAATAACTGGCAATCAGACGATTACACCACTCGTGATAGCAATGACTGATACCTGGTGGGTTAGACCATTTTTGTTGCTGCTCTTCAAGAAAGTTGAGGGGGGGGGGGGGGAGAGAGAGACCCTACACCCCCCCCCTCCTTCCGGCACCCAACGCCCGCCCCCGCCCAAACCACGTACAGGGGTTCCATTTTTTAGCTTCTTTTTATGCATATTATTTAATTTCAAGTATAATATTGTGTTTTTTGCCATTTACAATATTTTTGTTATAACATGCTTAAACAAGGCTCAGATCCATTAACCCCCTCATCCCCCCACCCCTCACTTTCCTCCCCTTATCTAGAAAATGGGTATATGGGGACTAAGTTCGGCATGACATACTACACAAAAAATATTACAAAGTATTACCCTGTCGAAGCTAACAGAAGAGGAGTGGGGATTCAGTTAGCTTGTGTAATTTCAAGGCAATTACATGACGAGGCAAAATCATCTCTTCCCATCCGCGTCCTCCCACCCTCTAGAGTTCCTCTCCCATATATGTCTGAGCCTTCCCTCCCTTGGGTGGCACGTCCACAACTAGGCGGGCGGCAGCTTTGGTCGATCGATTTCCTAGCGATTTTGTTCAGAAAGAAAATGTCATAGTTGTAGATAAGAGTTTTATGTTGCTTTTTATTCCTGCTTCTGTGTGATTGCTGTGTAAGCTTACTGTCTGTCAGCATTAGTTTTCATCGGTTTTTAATTCTGCATGTTAGTTGTAAGTTTCTGTTTGCCTACCTTTCACCCATGCGTGTGTACATCATCATCAAGTACCATACCGGCTGGCATAGACGATCATGTCTCTCCCCAAACTGCGATCTTTAGTTCATCTGCTGGCACTCCTCCATCCCATGTCAAGAATCTTCTCTTTTTCGACAGATCTTTCCAGTGATCACAACATATTCTAGTTTCCTTCTTTGTCAGGAATCTTTTGTTTTTCGACAGATCTTTCCAGTGATCACAACATATTCTAGTTTCCTTCTTTGTCAGGAATCTTTTGTTTTTCGACAGATCTTTCCAGTGATCACAACATATTCTAGTTTCCTTCTTTGTCAGGAATCTTTTGTTTTTCGACAGCTCTTTCCAGTGATCACAACATATTCTAGTTTCCTTCTTTGTCAGGAATCTTTTGTTTTTCGACAGATCTTCCAGTGATCACGACATATTCTAGTTTCTTTCTTTTGATAACAAGACCAATGAATATGACTGTATCTTGTTGATGTTTGTGATAAGTTGTCTTCGAGCCCTCGCCTTCTTCTAAACATCTTGGTTGCTCATTTTAGCCGACCAAAGAACTCTAAGGATTCTTCTGTAAAACCACATCTACAAGGCCGCAAGAATTGTTTGGTTTATTCAATAACGACGCAACTAAACAAAAACAAAACACAACAACAAAGTAAAGGACCTTTCCACGCATTCAGAAGTTTTGGGCACATAGGGCTAGACCTATATTTTACAGACCAATCGACACTTGGTGGGTGATGTGGTCAACATCACGCCACCCGTCTTTACTTCCAATGACTGCACCTGGTGCCCACTCAAGGCTGTGAAGACTTGGCAGGCACAGTCATTTTTGAAAAAAAGTTCGGCTCCACCAGGACCCGAATCCACGACCTTCCGATCCACAGGCGAGCGTCTAACCGATACGTCATGGCGACTAATAATTACATTAAAAACTGTATACACGAGGGAGATGAATGGTCGTAAACCATGAGGTAGACCAAGAAGAATATATAGAGATAATGTACAGACAGACTTGCAAACACTTGGTGTCACCAACTGGAAAGAGAAAACCAACCAGAGAGATGAATGGAGGCTGGTGATATCTGCAGCAATGAACCTCAAGGGCTTGGAATGCTGAAGAAGAAGAAGAATACAAACCTAAGTAAAGTAAATGTTCAGCTTCTCTTACGCCTGTGGAGCGTCAGGTAAATGTTAGACTCAAACGTACAGCCCGACAGCATTATCACACATCCACTCTGGACTGCAGGAGCTCCCATGGTGTAGCACCTAGACAAGTGATTCTCAACCTGTGGGTGGCTACCCTTAAAGGAGTAGAACGACCCTTTCACAGGGGTTGCCTTAGACCATCGGAAAACACATATTCACTGCAGTTATAAGGAAACGAAATAAATGTAATGTTTAGGGGGTCACCATAGCATGAGGAACTGTATTAAGGATAGTGGCATTAGGAAAGTTGAAAACCACTGATCTAGACCTTCGCCTGCGGATCGGAAGGTCGTGGGTTCAAATAATGACTGAGCCATATTTCTTTTTCAACTTAAAGTTTTCCATTTGCAGATTTTCATTTTGTAGGATGAACATCTCAATGATGAGAATGAGACAGCTATAAATCCCAGAAAGCGCCGTTTTCAGCACATTTATACTGAGGCACCACAAAAGGGTTATTCAACACTTTTATACGACTCATTTGCGTCTCTGTTTGATGGCTAGACATCATTCAACTCTGGCACTCAATGCATGACCTGACCCCTAGTGGTGTATAGTTTCAATTCACGTGCTAGCTGACACAGAGTGCAGGGGAAACAAAAAGTTGTCGCTAAACAATCGTCCATGACACTTCCCTGAAACGAAATGTGAAGAAGAAAAAAAAGTTGTCAGCTTTACAGAACACGATATAATTAACTAACAAAGGGCGTTGTGTCGACAAACCTTTATCAGTAAACGACATGATTATTAATCAGGGGAATCTCTACACAGTGAGTACAGTTGAACTCACCCCACCCCACCCCACCCCACCCAGAACAACCCTAGTCTTAGTCGAGGGAGGTTTCAACTTCACTGTAATCGGGTTTTCCTCATACTTGCTTAGTTCCTGTGCCAGTGAAAATCAACTGAAGTGTGTCCAGAAATATGCGTACGCAGTAAATGCAAATTTCAGTTGCTAGAAACGCCAAAGCCAACAGTCACCGCCAGAAATGCAGTTTGTCGTTGATAATAGTAGTCGGGAACGATACGTTGGCTACCATATACATGTAGAATTATTAAATAATGTATTTTACCAGATCACACGTAAACCAGCTACCAGTCATATTTAATACCACGAAACAACCGCTGCACAAATGAAAGGCATTCCACAGGAAAACACAGTGCACAGTGCTGCACCAAGCACTGAACTTTGTAGCACTGAAACCGGAGAGTGCCGTTCAAATGTGGAAACTGCATTAGCAAAGCGCTGTCGAGAGCAAACAATTTCGAAACATAACATTGTGCCATGCCTTATCCTCAATTAGTCTGGAAGCCCTCCCAGAACAGCACACCGAGAGAATAACTCCCGGTGACGCAAAGTGTCACTATTAGGATGAGAATCTCCCAGGTACAAATTCCAGAAACCCCGTTCAACCGCAAGGTTATATCAGTGTCCTCCGACGGTTACAAAGTAACCAGAAGCCCAGACACGGTAGGGCAGGTTCCTTACAGGATATCTCTCTGGTTCCGGCACGCCTGAATATCGTCTTATGCCCAGAAGTCCTATGTGCTTTCAAAGTCAATGCATCTTCAGTGTCCTTTATCTACCTTCGCAGAGACGGATCCCTGTGTCTCATTTGCAAAAAAAAAAAAAACTGTAACCTCAATCACTGTGTTGTCCAGGCCACTAAGACGTTTAGCATTTCCATAGTTGTTTGGTTTACATGATGAGGTAACCAACCTCAAGCCCTACCCTACCCTTAGTCTCCTCTTACGAACTGCCTTGTAGGATGCAGTATAATTATTCCTTGCTTCATGCGAGGGCCCTGGTGCCTTCGTAGAATTAAGGGATTTAAATGATATGATAGAATCCACAATGCAGAGCGTTGGAAGAGAACTAAATAAGTTAGTGTGGACCAAGAAGTGTAGAAAAGACACATGCGAGAAAAATATAACTAGAATGTCTTTGAACTGAAACCATCAGGGGCATAGAAATAAAGGAAGACACACAAAAAGCACACGGAAAAGGGAGTTAAAGAGCGAATTTAAAAAGATAGACAGGATACAGGAAGAGCTGCATGAGATAAGGAAGGATAGAACGACTTTGCATGAGTTGGTTGAGGGCCTACGCTTCATTTGGGGTTAGAAAGGCAGAAGAAGACGGCGTTTAACATTCCTAAAATACTTCCGTTTTCTGGAAGGATGCTATTTACATGCCCTTTTTTCACGATATTTAAATCATGCGAGATGTTGATGTTTTTGCTCTTCTTGCTATTCTATGAACGTTTCTGTAACATTTCAGTTCAAAGCTACTATTTTTTTTTTCTTTAACGATTGAGTAAGAGTTTCTGACTTACATCTATATGTTGCAACGGAAAAGATGCACGGCCTCAGAATGTTTACTTGAAGTCGTTTGCACATGCTGTGCCATAGTTTCTTTTCTCAAAACATACTTTCTCTCGAGGTGGTCACTGCAGGTTTTCGCTGGCTAGAGAACACGCCACTCACACACACACACACATCGTGATTGTAACTGACTCAGAAAGCATGCTGAGGAAGATCAGGACAGGCGTGCTTCGTGCAGAGTGGCATGTTTCGCTGCGGAGGACACGGGTGAGGAGTAATTGTCTGGATATTTTCCCCGGGGCACGCCGTTGTGTTGGGAAATGAACAGGCGGACAGACTGGCTGGCTCTGCACAACTTGGTGGATTACTGATACCTGATAAGGCAGACGTGGTTAGTGCCTTGTGGGAGAGTGTGTACAGTTCAGAGGAGCAGATGGATCCCCAGTTTGGTGAGATTTATGCAGGGGGGAGTGACGAGAGGTTCTGGCAGATGCTCGAGGCTCAGAGGAAAGGCAAGACAGACATTTAATCAGAATGCTACTGGCACCATTAGTTTCGGAACTCTTCGCTGGCTGCTGAAGATGGGGACGGAGCGCTTATGGGAATGCCCCGAGTGCTGTGATTTCGGTTCTTGAATCAAATCAAAACATACTCTCGGGGGGAATTCCAGAGGACGCTAACTGCCCAGGGCCTCTGAAACGATGCATGCTACTGCGCGAACAATATCTGCCCAAACCGTGGAACCTAACACAACATTTTTATTCGGTTTAACAGGGGATTTGGATTTGCTTATGTCAGATTTACATCTGGAAAGTGACTCGCTGACAATCTTTCAGGTGCAACCCCGACGGGGGAGGGGGGGGGGAGATATTAGAGGTAAGATGAAATCCAGATATGCCAAGAAAGAAAGTGTCAGACTAAAACATCGTGGCATAGTCACTACGTATGCCAAAGGTATTTTGCAGACCATCTCTAAAGTGAAAATGGAAACGAGTCTGGATTACAAATAGGAATTACCCAGACGAGAAATTATAGAGGTGGCTGAAAATATTGACAAGAAAATTATAAACATAAAACAACCATTGGCGCTTACAGAAATAGCGTGTTGAAGTCTCATTTTCGTCCGCAAAACGGTTTGCCAGCCCGGCACAAAACAAGGCACGCAGAAGGACTCTCCGAGCTGTGTGGCTATCTGGCAAGCCATGCAACAATAGCAAAAAGTTCCACAGCAACCTGCAGAAGTACAGAGATCAAAGATGTTTTACAAAAATCGTATGGTATTCAATATTTTAGTGAGGCTAGATTCTAGGTGGGTTCTTAATTATTCCTATTCTTCTGTGTTCGATATCAGTCATGCTAAACATGTAATCACATCTGGGTCACAAACAGGGCGGTGCGTATAAGGCTGCCGTTGCTGCCCACAGCTTCCCTTCTAGTCTCGCCCCATTAGGCCAGATCTACTACCTTTGCCGGGGGTAATAGTTGGGGCAGTACTGCTAGGGCCGTCCTAATGCATGGGTCCGCCAGGAATTATCGTGGAATGCTCCGTGAGCTTAGGATCCCCATGCTAATCTGTGTATATATTTCTTCTTCTTCTTCTTTTTCTTCTTCTTCTTCTTCTTCTTCTTCTTCTTCTTCTTCTTCTTCTTTTTCTTCTTCTTCTTCTTCTTCTTCTTCTTCTTCTTCTTCTTCTTCTTCTTCTTCTTCTTCTTCTTCTTCTTCTTCTTCTTCTACTACTACTACTTCTTCTTTTTCTTCTTCTTCACGTTCAGCGATTTTAAACTCTAGGGGAAAGTTCTGGTTGTTCGTCCACCTCTGGATTTTTGACTTGTTCCAGAACCGGAGTGTTGCGTGCACATCCGTTTTACAGATCGGACTTATTTGAATGCAAACTGTTATTTCCTTGCCTCTCAGACAGATGCACTGCGTCTTCGAAGGAAACCTTAATTTAGTCTACTCTTACGACATGCTTGATGTGGAGGCAGTAGGTCTATTGTGGTTTTCTCCACATTAGGGTCCCGGAAACCATATGGGAATGAATAGATTTAATATTATCGGCAATCTTTAAAAAAAAAATAAAACATTATGCAGAAATTGCCTGCCATTTTTAAAAATATATACCAATTATCTCCACCTTAGGTGGAGACGTTGTCACCTCCCTTTTCAGACCCTCGTCGATAAGTATTGATCTACGCCCATAGGCGTACTCCTAAAATATTATTTGATTCCTCGCTGACATACTACTGGCTGATCAGATAATTTTGTTGTTTTGATATCTAAATATCGAACTAAAATAATACCTGTATGTTTCTGTGTGGAAATGTCACTAGAATGATCATTGATAATGATGGTGTTTTTCTTCAACTGAATGTAGCCAATGACATTGGTTTTCAATATAAACGAATTGATTCATCTTTATTATGATTATTCTCTCCTTTAGTCGCAGCAGGTAATCAGGTAAATTGCAGTACCTACTTAATGTGGTCTGTTTCAATAGTCGTGCCCTCACACTCAATCAAATATCTGGAAAACTCCTGTATGGATCAGTAAGAATTGTTGCAAATAACCTTAGATGCTCTATATCCTTATGACTGGATAATGTACAACTGCACGGATACTGCAGTTTTCTTAAAGCGGCAAATTTCTTTGATCTTTGTTTGCGTACTCCTAAAAGCAAAAAATAAAATAATAGATACGCGTCTCTTTGAAAATCGTTTCACATGCGTAGCAATGTGTAGCGATTATTTTGATAGTTTATCCAGCATACAATGAAAAATCCACAATTTGCTGGAGAATAATGCTGGACCATCTGAGAGTGAGACGCCTACGAAACGTGTGTAGTTTGATGTTTTGAAAAATCCCAATTACGCTTAACTGTAAGCATGCTCATTAATAATTTTGAGTCGGTGTCTGTGTGTGTGTTTTTTTTTTTTTCGTTTACCGCAAATAAGGTAAAATAAAATCTACAAGTTTGTTTACATTTAAAAGAATCGATATATTAACAGTTGTATGCCAAACTTCAACGGCCTACAACGAACTGTTACGGAGTTTCAGATTATTTAATTTGGGCACGATTTGTGAAACGGATTAAAGCAAACGGATCAAGCCATAGTTGCTCCGTCACTATGCAAACGAAAAACAATATAGAATCTTCACCACTGTCCTTTGTGGAGGGAAAAACTGACACAGACTACAGTCTTAGCAAATCCTGTAGCATGCACACGCAGCAGTAGTCGCAGTAGTAGTAGCATGAATAGCAGCTGTCATAGATGTTTGAGTTGAGTTTTTCTAGGGACCGACATCAAAGCACTCGGGACATTCATATAAGCGCTCCGTCCCCATCTTCTGCAGCTGCAAAGAGTTCCAACTCCGATGGTACTAAGTAACAGTATGATCGTAAATTGTTGTTGTCTTTTCTTTTAGTGTGGAATGTCGACTAGATCCCCTATTCCAGTGTTTACCAAACTTTTCTTAGTCACGGCGCCTTTTTTTTCAGTTAAAATTTGTCCACAGCGTCCTAATCTAAGTAAAAGTGTGACTACTCGTATGTAAGAAATTTGAAAAAAAAAAAAAAAAAAACTCGTGTATCTTCGAATATTTCGCGGCGCCCCTATGAAGAGGTCGCGGCTTCCCGCGGCACACAGTTTGGGAATCACTGCACTATTCACTCCCCGCCCGTTGCCCCATTTTTTTTTTTTTTTTCATATCGTGATAATCTAATTGTGCATCAGTACTATTCACTAGCTCCCAAAGGGCACTGACAACATTTAGCTTGTCATGCACAAATTGACCATCAAATGGCGCAGAACCAGCCAGTTTGTCCGCCTGTTTGTTTCCAAGCCAACACACATATGCATATAGTGGAGAAAATATCGAAAGGATGCTAACTAGCCTGGTCTTCTGCAGGCGATGCATGTCACCCTGCAAGAAGCATACCGGTATCCACCTTTCTCAGCATGCTTTTCGAGTCAGTTTCAATCACAAGATGTGTATGCAGCTGATTCTCAAGCCAACGGGAGGCTGCGGTGACCGCCTCTACCTCTATTATTAAACTAGATGTGATATCATGTGTCAGGCTTTGTTGCGCTAAGGTTCATCCTTTAGATTTTGCTATGAATCCCCATGCACTTCTGCATCTCAACACAAAGCCATCTGTATAGATAATCGCAAACCTGGGCGAGAGTTGTCATGAATCACTCTCCATATCAAGCTGGGAGCGCTCTTTTGTTTTTATGACTGCTAAAGCAGCAAATCCGGATAGTTACAAGTCAAATGCACTCAATTTTAAAACTGCTTGACGCCCCTAGAAACTTCCTCACTCTCCCAGGTTGAAGAACACTGCTCTAAAGGACAGGCAACTTACTGTCTTACATCCTTCATTGGAGACGGAACCTGAATCACCTCGTGGAAGCAGTAACATTCTCTTAGCCATTTCTTGCACGTTACTCCTTGTCATCTCCGTCTTTTTCATCGCTGCCTGCAACTCTGGTCGCTACCTATTTCATTCAGGTCTCCGCTGATTTCTTGTGCCGTGTGGGTTCATGTTCAAGAACACTAAAATTAGTCTCTACCTGCTTTTGTTTCTTTTTGATGCAAAGATTTCACACTGATCTGTAGAGATACCAGAGATGCTAACGGGTTCTACTACTGTTGCTGTTGTTGCCTTACAACAACTACCACCACTAACTACTACTACAAAAATAATAACAACTATTACTATCAATACCAATAATAACACAGCTACTTTTGCTGCTATTACTACTACTGCTGCTACTGTTACCACTACTACCATCACCGCTACTATGGGTGAAATAGATGATTGGAAGAACTGGATATATACTTATCTCTTTCTACATCCAACCACGCATTCCATTCCTTTTCTTTAATGAAATTCGAACAGAGCTGCACCCATTTACACTCAAACAGCATATGTAAATGTTATAAACGTTAGTCGCTGGTAAACTGTTATTTGAATTAGCACTTTCACTTATTTTGTCGACGACACACACGTCATAAGGCATTCGTCCTCATGTGGGATGCAATTTTAAGCTATTCTGAAGCCCCACCCTGGCTTTTGCCTGCGGCCCTAAACATAGCCGGGCCTGAAATATGGCCTAACGGCTGAACAGGGATTCCGGGACCTCTTCACGGGTGATCCTCATCTGCATGGTGGCACTTTGTGTTTATCGCTTGTGTGATGTCCTGGTGGGGTACAATTACCTACCTACCCTGTCAACAACACAATATGTTTAGTTGCGTATCCTTTACAGGTCGTTGCAGAACCAACCCCAACAGCCCCTGGCTGTTGTGTGGTTTTTTAAGGCAAATTTACGTCCAGTAGTTTGCCATTTCTTCCTGGACGGTGGACTTTCTTGATACCACTGTCGAAACCAACGCAAGGCGCATTGCCCGCCGCTGGCATCGAACCTGGCATCCCGGCATTACGAAGTCTTCGCATCGACTTAGCCACAGAGCCGACAACAACACAAGACGAGCAACAAATAAACTAACCAACAAAACTCACAAATATTCATATCCTTGCAGCAATCACACATGCCTGTGGACCAGCTCCGGCGGCCGTTCATCCCCAAGGCTGGCACTGGTTGCTGTATCACCACCGTTGTGGAGCTGGAGTTCATCGGCCCACATGGAGGCAGGGCGTAGAAGTTGGGATCTGGCTGGTTAATGGTGTAGGGGTTGAACTGGGAGTAGTCGTAAGGGGCACTAGGGTTGAAGTACGACACACTGGGGCCCGTGTAGGGCGGGGCCGGCTGGTTGTAGGCGGCCATGGCTCCACTTCGAGGAGGGGAGTAGTCGGGGGCAGGGCCCTGTGTTGTGTAGATAGGAATAGATGATTGGAAGAACTGGATATATACTTATCTCTTTCTACATCCAACCACGCATTCCATTCCTTTTCTTTAATGAAATTCGAACAGAGCTGCACCCATTTAATCATTTTATTTTACGTCACTCAAATACCACCCCTCCTCCCCCACCAACACACACACACACAAACACACACACACAGGCGCGCGCACATAACGAAAGTTAAAACTTTTGAAAAGCCTTTTTTTTTTAAACGACTCACTCAAATTCGATGAAATTTGCATACGTTACTTCCAGTAGTAGGCCCGGCAAGGAGGACGTATGAAAGGAATATCTTTTTTTTTTTTTCATCGAACACCGGCTGTGAGCTCCAGTGGAAGGTCCCGGTTAATCGTCCGCTTGGACTTTTGGCTTTCACCTGGACCTGATTTTTGCGTGTACAACCGTTTTTCATTTCCCTGCCTCTTGGGCAGCTGTACGCCGACTTCGAAGGAAGACGTCAGGCCTATTTCTAGGGTGACTGTGGCCATTGTTTTGTGTGGGTCGAGACGTTGCCTGATTTATGTGGTGTCCATTTTGTCGCCTTCGCCGCAGGTATTGCCCCCGGAGTACCCCTTTGGGGCAGCCCCCTGTGGAACAGTTGGCCCTCAAGGGAAGGCAGGGGCAGATCATGGGCATTCCCCGCCATCCAAGGAGGCTTCCATGCATGCAGAGACGGCACATATCGCTCTGTTTCTGGGCTCACCCAAGGAATCGTCACGTCCTGCACATGCCTGCTTAACCTCACAACCGTATCAGGCCTCCCGCTCGACAGGGGCTGCGCCCTCTGAAAGTCAGCGGGGAGCAGCCTTTGGGTTTTTGGACTTTTTTGACCACACAGATAGGTACATTAGCCCGACAGAATTTCACATCCTGAATCAGGCATATCGTTGTCAGTTTTTCCCAACACTCGGGCGAGTGAGGTCTTTGGGTGTGAGTATTCGGTCTCTTTCAGTTCAGTGCAAATTTTGATGGTCAGATTTTGATCCGTATGATCTAGTTTTGTCGGACATTTAGGCTTAGCCATCCGATGGATGGTTGCTGTTGTGGTGTACCCCAGCGCGGTGACGACGACACTGAGGGCCAACCGGGGATGCACAAGGATGGCCAGCCCATGGATGGTTGCTGTTGTGTTGCCCCTCAGCGCGGTGACGACGACACTGAGAATTAACAGAGGATGTGCAGTGAGCAATGTTCTCTTTACTCAGCTGTCTTTTAACCAAGGGTTGTAATTTTAGCTGTATGTTTGTCAACCCTACTCATGTTCCTAATGAGTTTTGATAACATTTTCACCCAAGCGTTTGGGGGCGGGCTGATGAGAGTCACAAGGACACATCACCTCTGGGGGCCGCCAAACTCCGAGATCCCCTGACAGCTCTGTTAATGCTCATTTGAGACATTATCCGTGGCGCACGACGAGGACGTGCTGTAGGGGTCTTGCGTGAGGATCCGTACAACCAGGATAGTGGAGGACTGGCGCCCGAGTGACGTACGGAGTATCTCCTTATACACATCATGTTGGACTTAACTTCCCCTCACGCCTGTGACATAAATCACCGCGCCACTGAAAGGAATAGAACGATGTGTGTATAATCAGTTTGCTACGGGAACAGCCTCTACACCTTCAGACAATTGCTGCGGGAGACTGATCATCTATGGGTATGAGCGGTGTGCTATGATGTCGTTTCTTAATCAGTAATCATAAAGCCATGGACATTTCTCATATTTCAAAGGAGATGTTTACATTGATCAATGACATAATATAATTTTTTTTTAATTTTTATAAATGACTTATAAATTAAGCTTGAAGCCAACCACCCCCCCCCCTTTCCCCCCCCCCCCCACCCCCGCCCCCACCGGTTTTCCACCCTCACCCCTCCTCTATTCTAATTTTTGCGAAGACTGACTCCTTGTGCGGAATTCGCCGTTGTTAGATGTGAATTAACTGTCGTGCTACCATCATGTCGCGACTCACTGAATGAGACAGAAATCGCATCATCAGCCAGATTCCCTCGTGTAACTCCTCGCAGCGCCACTCTCACCAGACAGTAATGATCTATCTGTGCCCCCGCACTGCCCCCCTACATACATGACACCACATAAAATGGTATCATACACAGGTACATAGCTGCATCCGTGACTTAGACGCTGCGAGTCCGACTCGTAAACCCAACGTACTGTGATCGAAACCCAAAGCTGGCTGCGTGGATTTTTATGGGGCGTCACGGGTCAAACTAGCCTAAAATTGGTACCAAGATGTGTGTCCTGGGGAAGTAAAGACGACCGGCGTAATGCTGACTACATTACCCAGCTAGTGCTGATTGGTCTGTACAAATGTGGGCGCTCTTTCCAAATGCCTGATGCGCCTAAGGCGTGAAAAAAGATCTTTACCTTTTTACTTTATACACGAGTACATACCTCATAGTTTTCGTTGCTTCTGTAGTGAGTCTCTTCAGTTTTAGGCAGCACTTGATTCGCCATCAGAAGTTCATGGAATTAACTTGCCTTGTTACATTCTGTAAAACAATTAAAAACTAATGGTTTGGTTTATACAACGAACCAACATCATGGCACAAGGATAGGAACCTACAAGTGCTGCCTTCTACTTCTAACTCCAGCCTGAGTCCAAAGAATCTCAGCGCACTGCACAACGAACCCAGAAGCACCGGCGAGGATCCTGAAATACTTTTGGTAGATATTTAACTCACAATTTTGCCCGGGCAGCGCCGTTAGGCTACTCTTTTCGATTTCCAACTGCCAAGGGATTTTTTTACGTGTTCAGGGTAAATTACTAGAAGTCCACATAAAAACATTCCAGCCTTTAACGCGGCTCAAACTCGGGACTTCCAACACTAGAGGCAGACGCCATGCCTCTAGACCACTTAGTCCACTAATTAAAAACTATGTTACTTGGAGTTGGAAATAGCAAATCGAGAAGGATTTTCGAGTAATTAATGAAACTATCAGGCAAATTGTGGAAACTACACTTTGTACTAAATTCACAGAGAAACAGCAGATCAAGTGATTTGGCCGTCTCGTAAGAATGCAGCAAGAGAGAATACCATCACCAGCACCACATCTCAAAAGATTAGCTACAAGAGGAAGAGGACGGGCGCGGAAATATGGATCGACAACATTAAAGACACTCTACCCAAATCATTCCTCCCCACGCCGCTTAACGGCAGAACTGGTTTACAATGATTATGATGATGTTGACGATGAAAAGGCTTTAGAGGCCATATTGGTCAGATAGGGCTAGACCTATATTTTATAGACCAATCGGCACTTGGGAGGAGGGGAGGGGGGTTTGGTAGTGATGTAGTTATATTGGCACCATAAATAAAAAAAACAATCAACGTAGCCATCATGCACACAAAGCTGCTGATAAATGTGCTATTCCTGCTAATGTTGTGCTATCGATGCCAGGCATGGACAGTCCTAGAAGAAAGCATAAAGCAAATTTCATGTCTTCTTCTTCTTCTCTTCTTCACTTCCTCTTTTACCGCTGTGGGTGTCGAGGGAGATATAAGGTTCTGTTTCTAGCTCTTCTGGCTGCCTGTACCATAGGCACATCGTGCTGTTGTAGAGTTTCTCTGATGTTATCCTTCCATCTTGTTCTTGGTCTACCCCGTGCTCTACGTCCTTCTTCTCTTCCCATGTATGCTTTGTATGGTATGGTGTCACAAGGCATTCTCTCTAAGTGGGCAAACCATTTCACTTGCTGTCTTTGTATGTAATCCAGAATTGGTTCTGTGCCGACTTGTTCTCTTATGATCTCATTTCTGATCTTATCTCTTATGGTCACTCCTACAGCCCTTCTCAGACATCTCATTTCCGTGGTTACTAATTTTCTTTTATGGTTTGTTGTGAGTGACCATGTCTGGCACTGGTAGCACAGAGTTGGAATAAATATGCTTTGAATAAGATGTCTCTTTGTGCTGATTGGGATTGTCTTATGCTGTAAGAGGGGGGCTAGCTGTCCCAATACCTGGTTTGCTTTACTGCATCTAATGTCAATTTCTTTATCCAATTTTCCCATCTTCGGTAAATGTGGTTCCCAGATATTTAAACTCAGATGCCTGTTTAATGCCTTTGTATTCTATTGTTATGTTTAGATCTGTCTTCTTTTTTCCTATTGACATTACTTCTGTCTTTTTAGTGTTGATTCTCATATTATTTGTTTTACATTCTTCATTCATGGATGTTAGATGTTGTTGCAATTTCATGGCCCTATCTGCTATCAAGGCCTGGTCATCTGCAAAGAGTAATTCGTTGATCTTACTAAGATCTTCATTCATGGGCTTGGCATTCTTGCATATACTGTCGATGTAGGTGATAAACAGCAGTGGTGATAAGACACACCCCTGTCTTACTCCAGATGTCACTGTGAAAGGATGAGACGTTCCCTGATTTATTCTAACTACACTTCTACAATCCCTGTATAAACTTTTGCACACTTCGATGAGGTGTTCGCTTACTCCATATCTTGCCATTATTTTCCATAATAATTGTCTGTCGACTCTGTCAAATGCCTTCTCCTGGTCTACGAAAGCCACAAATAAGTTCTTATTGTATTCAATGTTCTTTTCTATTAACTATTTAAGTGTGAAGATTGCATCTGTGCAGCTTCTATTTCTCCTAAATAATCAGTCCGTTTATATCTCATTTTGATTTTTGTAGCGGTAAAAAAATCCATTGCCGGCTTGCTAGGCCTGTCGCAACTTCACCAGAGCCCCGTTGGCCAGGACGTTTCGGGGTGACCCAGGGTGGCCTTCATGGCTACCGTAAAAATTTCATGTCAAATGAGATTAATTAGAAATACGGCAGGAAAACAGGAAAAGGCGGCACCAATGAAGAACTAAAAACAATGGTACCGGTGAGTGATTTCATAGAAGATCAAAGAATGGTTTGATCGTCTGGTAAT